TATTTCAATTGGATGTTTTGCTGTCTTCCAAATCACTAATTTGATTCCCTGCTTCATCTAATCTATTGTTGATATTATCTAATGTATTCTTCATTCAGTTATTGTATTCTTCATTTCTGACTTGTTCTTTTTATGGTTTCTATCTCTTTGCGTAAGTTCTCACTGATTTCATCTATTTCCCTCCTAAATTAATTGAGTATCCTTATAACCAGTGTTTTGAAATGTGTATCTGGTAGATTGTTTGCCTCCATTTTGTTTAGCTCTTCTTGGAGTTTTGTCCTGTTCTTTTATTTGGGACTTGTTTCTTTATTCCCTGGGTTTGGCTGTCTCCCTGTGTTTGTTTCGATGTATTAGGTAGATCTGCTACATCTCCCAGTCTGTAGGGTGGCCTTACATAGCAGGGGTCTTATGGGATCTGCTGCAGACTCCTTGGTCACCTGAGTGAAGTGCTCCAGGGGTGTCCCTTGTGTGGGTTGTGTGTGCCCTCATATTGTAGTTGGGCCTTGATTGATTAACCCTCAGGCTGCCTGACAGTGAGAACTGGCTCTTACTATGGATGAGCTATTGTTCCGGGGGCTGACCCCACAGAATGGGATTCACTTTACAGGGGCATTGGTGCCTGCCGAGTTCACCTTTAGGGTGTGTCATTTGTGGAGCTGATTGGGGGTGCTTTGGTATGGTCTGAAGCCAGCCATTAGGTGTGTTGGTTTTGGGGCCTCTTAGGAGAAGCTCCAGTGCAGACCCAGCTCAGTCACTGCCTGTGTTCAGACGGGGGTTATCTGATAGGAACTACAAAGTGATCTAAGGTTGGTAGCTGCCTGTGCTGGACTTGGAGGTGCCTGGGAGACACTGTGCTATGAGCTAAGGCTGGCTGCCACTAGTGTTGGGGGCCTCTTAACAGGAGGTACAGGGCTTTCCGAAGCCAGCCACTGCTTGTTTGGATTTGCGGACCTTTGAGAGATTTTAGGAAAGTCTGCAGTGTGGGCTGAGGTAGGCAGTTTGTGAGGAACAACTGCTAACAGAAGTTCAAGCCAGGTGCTTGAATTGGGTGGGGTCTCGGAAAATCACCAGGGTGGGGCTAGAGTGGTATTAACCAGGTTAATGGAGACTCAGATATGGTGCCATCTGTGCCTGCTGGCTGTGTCAGGGGAGGGATCAACCAAGCAGTAATGTCACCTGCCAGCACTTCTATGTCAGAGAGAGCTGCCCTTCCAGCCCTCCCCCTGAAGCCAGACAATTCAGTCCCTCCCCACATGTCCCTGTAGCTGTTCAAGCTGCTATCCCTTCTCTGGAGCTCAGGGCGAGCATTTGTGGGCAAGTGAGTCTGTGCTCAGGCCCTTGAAGAGGGAATGTCTGAGTCCCCAGTAGCCCTCCACCTCAACTGGATGGAATCCCTGCTGATTTTTACAGACAGCTGTTGTGGGAACGCCTTTTCCTGCTACCGGTGCTCTAGGCTGGGAGCCCTGAGGGGGGCCTCCACACCCAAGATATGCCTTCTGATTCTTAACCACCACACGTGGTGGGGGACCAGCCTGTTCCAAGTCTCTGCCTTTCTTATCAGTCTCCGTGTGGCTTCTTTATCATATCCTTAATTATAGGAGTTCTGTTCAGCTAGTCTGCAGGTGGTTCTCAAGGGTAGTTGTTCTATAATTTAGTTGTAATTCTGATGTGGATGTGGGAGGAGGGGAGCATAGAGTTTACCTAAGCCACCATCTTGACTGGAAGTCCAGGCCCTGGTGATTCTTTAGCTCACTACACTGGTGATTCTTTAGACACTCTTCCTTGGTGCTAATTATTCTTAAAAGTTTCATTCATCATTGTCATCATCTTCTTCCCCTTAATTGTATCACAAAGAATTTCAGTTATATCTATCTTCAAATTGCATAATAAGTATTAAATGTTGGACTGAAGAATTCAGCAACAATTTCAGCAAATATTCCAGTAGCTATTATATATAAGCTACAGATCTATACTTTCTTGACCTGAAAAAGATAAGAAAAGGTAAATTCCCTAACCTTTGTCCCTCTCTTAAATGCTTCCATGTAGGGCTTTATTCATAGTCAACACCAAGTGTAAAACTGAAGGAGTGTCTTGCTTTTTATACATTGTGTTTCTGTTGCTTATACAGAAACTGCATTTGTGTACCCTTGCACAAAATTTAGTAGAGAAAGTTTCCTTTTTGGCTCTTTTATTAGGATGCTGTTCTTTATATATGAACAATATCTATGTAGAATCATGTCTCTCTGCATATTATATATACATACATATGCATATATCTTTATGAATCTACATATACACGACTCATATCGTAAGATTTTCTCCTATGTCAAGGGTTTTAGCCCAATGACAGAAGTTCAATTTTCTTAAAATTTCACTGTTCTGTGACGACTGTTGGGTTACTGGTAGACCCTGGGCCGCATTCCTATCACTTTCTCTGAAGGCTCTACATTGATCGTTGGAGTGGGCAGACACAGCCCCACTGAGCATGGTCATTGCAGGTTCATGTCCCTGCCGTGTGAGCTGCAGGTGGAATGTTGGTGGCAGATTATCTCTCACTTCCCCCCAACTCCATTCTCAGGCTTCAGAGGAAGATGATTCTGTGTGCTCTATGGAAATGTAGCCCTCGGTGGTCAGAATCTGCCATTAAATGTGATTTCCCCACTTACACAGGACACAGGGAGCAGGACCTGCTTGGGTCCTCATGGTCATCTCATCAATAGGAAGTTCTCTGTTCTCTCTCGTCCAGGGCCTACAGAGACTATCAGTCTGTGCATGAGGGGGAACGGGCTAGAAACAGATAGAGCACAGGTAACACACTATAAGCCACTGAAGCTGTAGTATGGGGCGGAGTCACTCCCGCACAGATGGTGGCTGCTGTCCCTTATAACCCTTTCCTTACAGCCTTTGGGGAAACTTAACTAAACATTCCCTCGGAACTTAAAAACTCAGAAATTCTAGGTCCCCAAATGATGGTGTTTTTCAAAAACTTTGAGTTAAATATTTGTGTAGCACTTTGCAATTTACAAAGTGCTTTTCACTTACATAATTTTAAGTAACAAAATCCTCAAACACTCCAATGTGGTTTTATTTTAAAGAAGAAAATCTGAGTTTCCATCAACTCAACAAGCAAGATAACAGTGCCCAATGAGAGCTTTTAAGGGTCTGTAGAATTATCAGTTCAAAGAAACAACAGTCTCCCTTAATACAGCCAGACTCAAGTAACACTTGATCTGTCATTTTCTTTTGATACTTATTGCTGATCTTTCATAGCCTTACTTGTGTACATGTCTTATCTCACTAGATTTGAAGTTCTATACGGTAAGATCTCTATGGGATTTTTACTTGCACCATTCACAGTGCCAGGAGACCCGGCAGGCCCCAAATTGGCACTTGTTGAATTAATGAATGAATGAAAAAAAGTGAATGAATTATAACCATTTCAAATTAATCTTCTGGATTTTATTTGGATTATATGAAGAAAAACCCTCAAGGAAGGAAGCTAAACTAGAAACTTGAAGAAAGACTATCTTTCAGGACCTCCTACGCCTCCGCAGCAATTAGGGACTGGGGAAACTTTCACTTTATAACTAATAAAAGGCTAGTGCATTCTTTCTGAAAAAATTGTTTACGGCTCTAGGGTTTATTTTTACTAACTCGCAAATATGAAACCAGCAAGAGCCCAGAGCTTGCTTATCAGTCAACCTTTCCTCTTTGTTTATACCAATTAGCAACTTAGGTTGTTTTTTTTCTTTCCCTCCACAGCATGATGAGCAAGTAAAAAGAATCACAGAAACACACGGGGAATGAAATATGTGAATAAGAAAAAGGCACACACAGCACAAACTCCTTTTTCCCCAGATATTTTTAAAAAAATATATATTTTATTGATTCTCTACAGAGAGAAAGGGAGAGGGATAGAGAGTTAGAAATTGATAAGAGAGAAACATCAATTCAGCTGCCTCCTGCACACTCCCCACCAAGGATGTGTCGGCAACCAAGGTACATGCCCCTGACCGGAATCGAACCCGGGACCCTTCAGTCCGTAGGCCGATGCTCCATCCACTGAGCCAAACCAGTCAGGGCTCCCCAGATATTTTTTAACCAACCCCTCAGCCTTGCGACGGGCTCTATGATAGATGTATGTATGTTTGTGTGTGTGTGTGTACATTGGAAAAATAGGAAAATAAGGTCAGCATAAACACTATGTGTAGGCATGAATCAATATAAAACGAAATTTCAAGTTTTTCTTAATACTTAAACGACACTAAGAAAACTACACAAAATAAATACTAGTATACCCTTGGAAGTAGGGCCAACAAATCAGGAACGCCAGCCAACTGAGACGGAGTGAGTGGAGGAGCAAGTGGAAATTTATCTCTAAAGGAAAAAAATATCACCAGAACTACCCAGTGTGGCTGAGGAGGGGGCGTGACTCCCATTTTCAGACAATCTGAGTACAGGGGATTGTGCTTGTGGGAGGCTAGCTCCTGACTTCG